ACAGCTGATCGGCTCAGCGCGGCAGCCATGTAAATTTAAATGAAGCAGTGATTATTTAAATCGCCGCTTCATTTTCCTATGCCTGGTAGCCTCATCTACATGCCTCTGTCGCCAGAGGCATGTAGTCTAGACGTAGCCTGAGAGGTTCCCCGCGGGTGCTCCCCTTAGGTGACTATGCAGCAGTGTTCCTGATTGGTGGTGGGTGCTCTGTGATACAAGAATGGATGTTGGACAGGACTGTACGTCCAAGTCTAGTGCCTGAGTCCTAAAAGGTCTGAATAGCATAATGTTGTGCAAAAGTATTGGCCGAAGCCCAAGTTGCTGCCCTGCAAATAATATCTATGGGTAGATTCTTAAGGAAAGCAGTCATGGTAGATACTGCTCTTGTGAAGTGCCCCTATATAACTGTCGGTGGCTGTCTGTTTTTCTGGGACTAAGCCAACTGTATGCATGCAGAAATCTATTTAGATATTCACTGTTTGGAGACAGGTTGACCTCTGGACATGTCTGCACACGACATGAATAGTCTGTCTGTTCTTCAGAAGTCTTTTGTGCATTCCAGGTAAAAGACTAATACCCTGCGGACATTCAGAATATACAGTGCTGCCTGCTTGCTATCCTCATGTGGTTTTGGGAAGAACACAGGTAGGTATATCGGTTTGTTACAATGGAATGAGGTAGGTATCTTGGGGAAGAATTTCAGTGGGTTCTAAGGACAACTTTGTCCTTGTAGAATACGGTGTACAGTGGGTCTGCCATGAGTTCTGCTATCTCGCCCACTCTTCTGGCTGATGTTATCACAAGAAAAGCTACTTTCATTGATAGGTGTAGTAGCAAGCAGGTTGCAAGTGGCCCAAAAGGCTGTCTCATGATTGAATCTATCACGAGGTTCAAGTCCCATGATGGCACTGGATCTCTATGCTGTGGATACAGATTCCGTATCCCTTTACAGAATTCTTTAATGCATGGGTGGGAAAAAAATGGAATATCCTTGTATGGATGGGTGAATTGCTGATATAGCTGCTAAGTGTATGCTGATGGAACTGAGGCTATGTCTAAACTGCACTCCTCTCTCGAAAGTGGAATGCAAATGAAGCAGATCGAAAATTCAAATGAATCACAGATTTACAAATCTAGTGCTTCATTTGCATAATTGCATCCGACCGCTTTTTCAAAAAAGAGTTTAACAGCCTTTTTTCGAAAGAACCTGTACACCTCATTTTTTCAGGAATACGGGTTCTTTTGAAAAAGGGATGGGGTTTGTTTTATTTTTTTTGAAAGAACCCTGTCTAGACTGAGGGGTTTTTTTTCAAAAAACCCTTTTTCGAAAAAGCCCTCAGACCCAATTATGCAAATGAATCGCAAGATTTGTAAATCTGCACTTCATTTGAATTTTCAATCTGCTTTATTTGCATTCCTCTTTCCAGACAGGAATGCAGTCTAGATGAGCCCTAATTGATAGTCCGGTGTCCTGCAAGTGAGTGATAAATTCTAGTATGTCCAAAATCCCTGCCTTGTGTGGATCCTGTGCTCAAGCCAAATTCCAGGCCACAAATCTGGCCCACTTCTGCAGGTAAGTTCATCTCATAGTGGATCTCCTGGAATTAATTAGGATATCTCTGAGCCTTTGAGACAGGGTTAGCTCTTTGTGTGAGAGCCAACAAGCATCCAGGCTAACAGGTTTAGTGTATGTAGCCCGGGTGTGATTTACACCCCCATCCTGAGTCAAGAGAGCTCGTAGCAGGGGAAACTTGTACTGCTGACGTGTATTGAGTTGGAGTATGGTAGGGTATCAAATTTGTCTTGGTCAATTAGAGGCTATGAGTATGACCCTGGCTGCCTCCAGTTTGACCTTTATTACCGTTTGATGTATTAGAGGTATAAGTGGAAATGCACATGCCAGTGGGAAGTCCCAGTGTTTTGCAAATGCATCTCCGAGAGATTGCGGTCCAATACCTGCCTTGGGACACTACCGGGAGCACTTGGAATTGATGTGTGTTACAAACAAGTCTACAACTGGGTATCCCCATCTCCTGAAAAGGTTATTTATGATACATTTCTTGATCTCCCATTCGTGGTTCTGTGGGAATTGTCTGCTGAGGCCATCTGCTAGTACATTGTTCTTGCCAGGCAAATGTATAGCAGTTGGTGTGATGTTGCATATAATATACCAATTACCATAGTTTTGTTGCTTCTGCACATAGGCTATGAGACCTCGTGCCCCCCGCCTGTTTATGTAATACGTCGTTGTGACATTGTCCGAAAATATCCTTATGGTTTTGTTTTGTATGTGTGGAAGCAGTAGGGAGCATGTCCTCCTCACTGCTCTGAGTTCCAGCATATTAATTTGAAGCCGGAACTCTTTGTGTGTCCATTGTCCCTGTAATATCACACTCCCTAAGTGGGCTTCCTATCCTAGCAGGGACGCATCTGTCATGATAGTGACGGATGGCATCGGCATCTGAAATGGAAGTCCTATACAGACGTTGTTTAAGTCTGTCCACCAATCTAGGGTGGCTTTGACCCGGCTGGGCATGTGGAGTGTCTTGTGGAATGGATTGTGACTGGAGTATAGCCATGCCTGAAATGGCCTCATATGTAGACAGGCATTTGAGACCACAAACGTGGACTCTGCCATGTGTCTAAGTATTTGAAGGCATGTATATGCTGTGGTGTGCGCGCCACTCTGTATGGACAGGATCAAGTCACACATTCTCGACCATCTGTTGGTCGGCAGTGAGGCTTTTCCCTGAGTGCAGTCCAATTGTGCCCTGATAAACTTCAGTGACTGGGTAGGAGTGAGGGTGCACTTTTCCAAATTCAGTAGGACCCCGATCATATTGAATAACACTCTTGTTGACTCCAGTGACTGTTCCGTGTCACCATAGGTGGATGCCATGATCAGACAATCATTGAGATATGGAAATATGTTTGTTTTTTTCACAGGTGTGCAGCTACCACAGATAGAACTTTGGAAAAAAACTCTGGGGGCTGCTGACAACCCGAAGGGGAGCACCCTGTACTGATAGTGTAAGTCCTTGCTGGTGAACCCGAGTAATTGTCTGAGAGCCAGATGAAAAGGTACATAAAAATATGCGTCCTTGAGGTCAAGGGTAGCTGGCCATGCTCCTTACTCCAAGGCAGGTATGCTCTTTCCAGCATAACCATCTTGAACTGCTGATACTTGACAAACTGGTTGAATGCATGTAGGTCCAAGATCAGCCTCCACCTCCTCTCCCCTGCCCCTGATTTGTTGATGGTTAGAAAGTATTGGGAATAAAATGCCCTTCCTCTGTAGTAGCTGGGTACCACTTCTATAGTGTCTAGTTCTAGAAGAGACTGTGCTTCATCTAGAAGGATCAACTTGTGAGAGGGGTCTCTGAAGAGGGACAGGGAAGGGGGGTGGGTTGGTGGCACTGCTATGAATGGTATTCAGTATCTGGTTCATATTATTTCTAGGACCCGTTGGTCCGAGGTGATGGTTTTCCATGCTGGATAGAATGCAATGAGTCTGTTTCTAAATATTTGTTTGCTTGGTTGTACTTGCCCTGAAGAATTTGTACCCTCAACCAAATCCTCAAATTTGCTGACGTTAGGTGGATACTTAGGTCAATGATGGCTCATTTGATGGTCTTCATTGAGTTTGTCTCATACGCCTTTTGTTCTCATAGGGTCTTTGCTATTGGGTATACCCTGATGTTCTGAACCTCTGGTAATATTGTTTGTATTGTTTCCTCTTGGCTCCAGGCAGCTGTATCCCTAGTGTGTGGAGCATTGCCCTGGAGTCCTTCAATGTGTAGACAACTGAGTTTGTTGCCTCTGCGAAGAGCTTCTCACCCTTGAATGGGAGATCCTCGATGTTTGACTGAACCTTCCTGGGAAATCCTAACAGCTGCAGCAATGACATCCATCTCATCACTACTGCAGATGCCATTGACCTGGCTGCTGTGTCTGATGCATCTAACCCAGCCTGCAGAGCTGTTTGGGAAATCAATGAACCTTCTCTGATATTTGATTTGAATTGCTCCCTCACGTCCTCTCGTATGTATTGAATAAAGGAACTGAATGATTCAACTGTGTTGTGCAAGTATTTTGCTAACAGAGCCATATAATTCACAATTCACAGATGGAGAGAGGCTGAGGAGTAGGCTTTCTTCCCCATAGTATCCAGTCTTTTTGTCTCTTTAGTGTGACTTGTTGTTCTGGAGTACTGTTTTTGCTTCCCCCTCTGGTTGGTTGCTTGGACTACTAGTGAATTAAGGAAATGGTGAGAGAACAGGAATTCGCCCCCTGTGGGGATGATGTAATATTTCTTATCTAGTTTTTTCTATATTGGAGGCACCGATGCTGGAGTTTTCCAGATTAACTTTGCTGGATCATCAATGTTTCGTTCATTGGTAAAGCCAGCCTCGTATGTTGAGGTAAGATGAATATGCTTGTGAGTTCATGTTTAATCTGTGTTACATTAGAGTTTTATGGCAAACATGTCTGCTACCCTCCTAAACAAGTCTTGGAACTTTCTGAAGTCATCCCCTCTGACTGGTGATGCAGGGAGACTGCGTTCTTCCTTCGTGGAATAGGAATTATTGGGCAGAATAGAGGAAGCCTGTGTTGCATCCTCCATAGATGACTCACTATTATGGTCAGTTTGGTCCCAGTCAGCTCATCTTCGGGTATTTGTGTGAGCTGATTGTGTTCCAGGGACCTGCAAAGTGTGTTGAAACTGTTGGGTCTGGTAAGGCGCCCAAGAGTACCAATAGGCCCACTGTGGGGGCATCCACTCTGCCACTCCTGCATTTGTTGCTGTTGTGGTTCCACATATAGAGGGACTCTGTGCTGGTCCATTGACTGCTTCTCCTCATCATCACTAAATCTGGCAGACGTTTGTGAGGCTGGTGTCAAGGAGAACACGGAACCTCTAGTCCGTGGTGTGTGGCCAGTACCGAATACTGGTGAGCATGGTACTGATCCCACTGCGAGGTCCGCCTCTGTCATGAACGTTGGTACCAGAGTATGCAGAGGCATTGCTGAGTAGTTCCATACAGCTGCCTGAATCAGTACCATTGGCGCTTTGAAGTGCATCGGTACCAGCGCTACCGAGCATTTGTTCAAGCGCAGCATTCCACTGCTCTGCAGCCTGCTTGCTCCCCCGTGGTACCACGTCTCCCACTGGTACCTTGTTACTGTGTGGAGAGCTTGAAGAGTAGCCAGTGGCTCCATGCTTCATATTAGGGTCACAGCTTTTTTTAAAAGTTAGATCCCTTATCCCACTTTTGGGAGCCCTTCCTGGTGGCATTCTTATCAGCCTCTTTTATCTTTTTGTTTGCTAGAGGCTGAGGCTCAGCAGGGGACCGGGAGCGTTTCGCTCCGGGTCCTGCTCTCTAGCTTGGCCCTGCATGCTCCTGCTGCCCAAGAGGGTTATCTCTGGGAGCAGTGGGAGGGAGTGGGGTTTGAATGAGGCTGTGACTCAGCCACGTTGTGGTCCAAAAACAATAGTCTTCTTTATAGTTCTCTCACCTTTTTAGAGCATGGGGTGAGCTTTTGACAATGCGGGCAGTGACTGACAGGATGGTCTTGCCCAAGGCAGCACAGGCACTGCTCATGTCCATCTGCTGCTGCAATTGCTGTCCTGCACCTTTTAAAGCCCAGTGATGGGGGCATAAAAGTTTTTTTCTTTTTGTGCTCTCCTGCGGGTGAGTGGAAAGTGACAGAAGCACCCAGGTGCTGCTTCGTCTGCTTTTCTTTCTGTTATCCTTTTCCTCTTTTTTTTTCCTTCTTTCTTTTTCCTTTTGATGCTATTAGAGAGACTGACTAAGTGTGACCTATACTGACGGCGGTTGGGAAGAAAACTGGCAAGCATGGGTAAACTGATTCTGCTGGAAAAAAAAGTCTCACACTATATAGGAGAGACATGTATCTGGACCTTATCTTTATAGAAAACTGTATAAGACTGATCAATTGACCAGTGTATTCTGTTCTCATTTCTTCTATTGGAGATGAAAGCTACTAAGAAAACTACTTTTGGTGAAAGGTGCAGAAGTGAGCAAGAGTCAATAGCCATAATAGACAACACTCTTTTCAAATCTCAGGAATATGTTGGATTTCCATAGGGAGAAATAATCTAGACCTTTCAGTAACTTGGTTATGTTAGGGTAGTGGTTCTCACACAGCAAGCCTCTGAGAGCAACTCCCGTTATAAATTAAAAACACTTTAAAGTATGTAACACTATCATAAATGCTGGGGCGAAGTGGAGTTGGGAATGGAACTGACAGCTTGCAACCTGCCACATAATAATCTTGCAATCCCCTGAGAGGTCATGACCCTCAGCTTAAAAAGCCCTGTGATAACACAGTATCGCCATCAATTTGAGTATGAAATGCTGAGATAGCCACCATGTTCACCTTAACAGAGGGCTAGGACTGACTCTTTGAGATGTGAGCGATAGTCTAAAATAGACTGAATCGTCTGAGCAGGTGGCATTATGGGACACCACCCAGATGAAAAACTGTTGCCACTTACTCAGATAAGCCGCTCATGTGGAAGGCTTCCTGCTGTAAAGGAGACATCTAGACTAACACTAAGCAATAAATATACTGTGCATTCTCCACTGATGAATGATGCCATGAGGTGCAGCACTTGAGGGACCTGATTGAGCACTAGGCCACAGATGTTTGTGACAAAGTCTCTGGTTATTGGTAATGGAAAGAGTTATTGGTGGATGGGTTTCATAGATCTGAATACCGTGGCTTTCTCAGACAGACTGGAACTACGAGGATCATTCTGCCATGAACCTATTTAGACCTAGGGATGACCCTGAGAAGAAGAGGTACGGTGGATATGGATACCTCTGGTCATTATCCCATGGAAAAAATGAAACGTGATGGTTATTGAATATGGGCTCTGATCAACCCTGACGCAGAATCAGGGACATTTTCTGTTTTTACCAGGTTGCGTATATTTTCTGCCCTCGTATGAAATATAAACTAGAACAACTGAGTTGAGACTATTCACCATCTACATTGAAGGATCTGCTCAGGTAATCTGCCAAACTGTTTTCAAACTCTATTAGGCAACATGGCCTGAGAGCAATGGAGCTCTGTATGAAGAAATTCCATAGCTTGACTGACTCCTGTCACAAGCTGTTTAATTTAGTGCCCTCCCCCATTTATTTACATTTTAAAAAAAGCCACTATGATGGTGCTAGTAAGTACCTGGACAGTCTTGCCCTGAATAAGAGGCAGAAAACGTAATACTGATTGCATCTTGGGAAGATATATAACCTGTATAGTTCAACAATTCTGAGCATAAAGATCACTCAGATGGTCTCCCAACCCATGGCTGAAGTTTCCATTACTAAAGAAAGCCGTGCAGAATGCTGTGGAGGGGAGACTCCTCTGTACACATTGTTGCGGCTCATCCACCAGGTAAGAATTAATACTTTCTGCACTTTTTTGCTTTAATACAGACTCATGGGGAGGTGTGTCTCTGAAGAGGGACCGGAGGATGAGGTGGAGTATACAGAAAGAAAATGCCAAGTATAAACCTGATTTCCTCATGCTTTGCATATACACATACTTGTCCAAGGGGATGAACTGACTGCCAAGCATGTAAGAAATGGGATACTATCTAGTGGGTGAGAGGTGGAGAAAGATCAGCGAGTTCAAGGTCTGGTAGTATGCCAAGCTTGATGTGAGAGTCAAACCAACTGTTATGAGGCCTGGGGATGTCTACAGGAAAAGACCAGGGAAGTAAAGGGCAATAGCCTGCTTCTCTGTTACCCTCTTTACCTTTCTTATGTAGCCAAAAATATGTATGATTTATACAATAGTATGTATGTAATGTAGAAGTAGAATGTTTTAGGATAATATAGTGTTCAGTTTTATATATTGTACCCTGCCAGCCCTCTTTTCTGATTAGCAGGAAGGAATGGCCTAGTACCATTGGCAGACATGCATCCAGTAAACTGTCAGCGCCTACCCCAATATTGAGGCAGGAAAAGTCTTTGGATTATTATAGTCCCTCTTATTTAGGTTAATAGTTCATTCTTTATTCTTTGTACTTTGAAATAATTGTTTAATATCTACAAAAATAATTTTCAGTACATTAAAACTCCAATAGTCTGGCACTGCTGATAGTCTGGCATCAAAATGGCAAGAGCCTAGTGAGTGAGCTTCGGCAAAAAATGAGTCACAAGGTAACAGCGGCAGCAGCTGAACTGAGCAAAAAGGGTAAAAAAGGCTTAAAAAAACTAAAACATTACAGTATACTGTATACAGTATGTACAATAAAAAGGGTTAAGAACACTTTATATACAGTATATAATGTATACAGTATATATATAACCAGTTTATAGTACCTCCTGATAGTCTGGTATATTTGATAATCCGGCACCACCTAGGTCCCATAGGTTCCGGATTATTGGAAGTCTACTGTAATAAGAAATTGTTTTAGTAAAATGTATTTAGCATTTGTTTAAATTTTGCTTGCTCTATAAAAACAGCTTTGCTTTGCAAGTTTTGATCTTTAATCATTTACTGTTCTCTTGGTGAACAAGGAGCACATGATATATCAGTAAACAGAGTGGTTCAGCTGGCTGAAGAAGAGGAAAAGATCAAGAGAAGCCAGTCAGACTATCAGGATATGCTGAGGATGGCTGGAGAACGGCAGATTGATGACCCTAAAGCATAGGTATACATCCCTGAAGGCAAGATAATAAAGGCAAAACCAGATGTGGAAAAAAACCCCAATGACAATCATTGAAATTCTGATGAAGGATAATGATGGGAAACCCCTAGTGATGATGGGATAATATGCCAATTAAGGACTAACAATCTCAGCATGAAACTGCAAAAGCCACAGACTCTAACAGGAACTTACAAATATAAGCACAGGGTGCATTGCCATGGCTCTCTGGGTCCTGCAAAGCCCTTGGCACATCAGATCACAACTGACAGAACCTGGCTCCTCCACTCGTGCCCAATCTAACTGGCTAAGCTACAGACCGGTAACTAGAACAACATCAGCAGGACTGGCGTGTGTGTATGAATTTGTATGCTGCTTTTCGTGTTATATCTAAATAAACAAAGCACATTGCCTTATTCTCTGAAAAATATCTGTTTGCTTCTTATAAGCATAACACTTAGACCAGTTAGTATGATGGAAGGGATAATAATGCTGTCTACCCTGGAACTGAGGATAATATTTTGTCCTCTTTACAGCTGAAGTGTGGAAACATCATGATATCAAAATTGGTCTCAAGTCCTTCAAGGTCTGTCTACACCACAAAGTTAATTCAAACTAACAGCCGTTAGTTCAAATTAACTTTCATAGGCACTACACATGCAAATCGCTAGTTCAAACTTAATTTGAACTAGCAGAGTGCTTAATTTGAACTAGGTAAACCTCATTCTACAAGGACTAACGCCTAGTTCGAATTAAGTAGTTCGAATTAAGGGGTGTGTAGCCACTTAATTCGAACGAGTGAGAGGCTAGCCCTTTCCAGCTTGCCCCGGTGGCCACTCTGGGCACAACCAGGGAAATTCTTCTGCCCCCGGAGCCCTTAAAGGGGCACAGTCTGGCTACGGTGCCCGAGCCAGGTGCAAACCTGCCAGCACGCAGCCAGCAGACCCTGCACCTGGCACAGTCCACGACCTCCGCACTAGGCACAGGAAAGTGGCCATCTAGGGCAGGATAGCTGCCAGACAGGCCACCAAAGGCCACATGCGAACCCAGGAGCAGGTTTGCGTGAAAATCAAGGTGGTCCAGTGAGACCCCCGACCCTGAGCTTAGAACATAAGAACGGCCGTAA